TTAGCATTTAAGAAACCTAGCAAGAAGGGTTTTGGGCGTACAGTTTGATTAACTTCCTTGAAGGGCCAAGTGAATGCTATAGTGAAACCCCAAATGGCATTCATTTGATAGCTGATATAAAGATAGAGATCCTTTTTCTTAATAGGAAAAGTCATCTTTTGGAATCTTCTCTTTATAGCCTTGGGATCTCCTCTATCAAAGGGGAGAAGAAGCAAGCCAAGGGTTAAGAACTCTCCCTTGTCTCCTCTCTTCCCCTTTCTTCCCTACCATCCTCTCCGGACCTTTGGAAACTTGACCAGCCACTTATTGAAGTCCATGATAATTACAATTAGCCAAAGGAAAAACCGACAAACGGGAGGAGAGAAACCCAGTACAGGACTTCGATAGATGAAGGTCCAATCAGGCAAGGAATGTGTTCTGATAGGAGACCCGACGAGCCAGAGGTGCTAGGCTCCATGGACTCTCACACAGAGAGGGACCTTTAGGTAGTGACATTGTTGGGGCTTGGGGTTGTTCTTTTGGGGTGGTGAAGAGTTGCTAAAGAAGCATTTCGAAAGTTCGGAGCAGAAGCTCTAAAGTTACGAACCAAAGAAGGGGCTAAAAGTAACGTCGAAGAGTTTTTGGAAAGCAATGACTCCTTGGGGTTGGTCTCCGTGGCAGTAGAAAGCTAAACAGGCTTATTGACTACTACATGAACACCTCAGTTAAAGATGACAGAAGATGAAGGAAGGCGATTTGGGGCAGAGGGAGAGGAGGAAGAGGCAAGGTTTCAAGTTAGATATGCCTCGATGGGTTGTTGGATTCCTGTTTTTTTGGTGGAGGTTCTGGATTCTTGTTTTATTTGTGTTTGTTCTTGGCATGTGGTTCTATGTAGCCTAGGGTATTCGTTGTCTAATTCGGGAGGGTTGTTGTGTCTCTGTTGAGAGCCTTGGGCTTTACGCCCATTTTGTATTTTCTTCCTTCTCCTGTTTTTTGTCTTTCAATAAATTTTCCCTTTTACGCTTCAAAAGTTATCCAAATCCAACAAATTAGGGTTATCCTAATTTTGCAACCCAACAAGGTCCAACAACCTTAACAACGATGTCGTTTTGCTACTTACGACTCAAGCTTGAACCTCATCGTTACCGCATGTTAACTTAAATAATTCAACCTATCAAGATGTGATATCATTTTGGAAAGGGTCCTATAAATGAATGATGAATTGGTTTAATCAAATTCATTTTTAAGCAAGGGAAAGCTTTCGAAGAGCTGATGTTATTTAATTAGGACCTGTTTGGGATAGCTTCAGCTTTAGCCAGTTGTTTTTACTGAACTGTACACTGTGAATAAATTGCCAACCAGCTTACTAATAAGTTGTTTTCTTGAAGCTTTTCGTGTGAAACCCATTGCAAAGCAAAAGCTGCTGCAAGAAAGCCCACTCATAGGGAGGACTGAAGGTACAATGGCTTCTGGCTTTCTTAGATGGGTCCCATATGGGGAGCTTATAAGTTAGATTAATTGGTGAAAAATCAGGAGAGCCCAAATTAGCTATTAGTCAGTCATTTGAAGGATTGACCGATTCATCCCCCTCGAATAATTAATCCTGTAGAGCACATCAAAGTAGTTTAACCAGTTTAGCTAAATCTTCAACTCAGCCCTACCAAACGGGTGCTTAACCTTAGAAAACCTACTTGGACCAGGTATTGATTGGCGAAGTCAAAGCTTTCATCCTTTTTTCCTAACCTATACAGTGAAATTTTAGATCATAAGAATACTAGAGTTTCTGACTATTTCTATATATTAATTATTATCCAACCATAACAAAATATTAATTCTTGTCCTTATCTGATTACAACAAAGTCAAGATTGACCTGTTCATCCTTCCTATTCTTCACATACTCTAAATCATGTTTACAATATCAACCAGCAATGGAAGTATACGTCAAGCAATATCCCCAGCTAAACAGAGCATTATGGATGAAAATCTTTGTTCAAGAAAGATATGTGCCATGTTTCCGGAAAGCAAGCTGACAGGTATCAAGATGACTGCTTCTAACTGTCACTAATTCTTTGAAGAAGAGTTCAAGAACAAGATTTCAAAGAAATGAGAGCAGTTGTAGACTAAGTAACTAATTAATTTAATTAATAAACAATTGGTTTGTTTAATCCTAGACTGCACGCAGAGACTATTGGAAGACACAAGAGACCATTTCGTTAGCTTCATTCTATAAATAGCACGGCTCTCATGCCAACCTTCTCACCCGCCATCAATCGACAAACCAATCTGTTCCTTCAAGAATTCCAAACTGATTACAAGTAGTGAAAAGATGGGTTCTCGGATGCTCGCATTTCTTGCCATCTTGGCCCTTTGCTCTTAGCCTCAGATCCAAGTCCCTTGCAAGACTTTTGTGTTGCCATCAACGACACTGAATCTCCTGGTACTATATGCACACTCTCATGGCTTTACTTTCCCATTCTTTCCCTTTGTTTTCTTCCATATCCAATTAACATTATATAATGCTGTTTGATTTTACTTCAAATGCTTTCATTCTTTGCTATCAACTGTTGTTGACAATATTCTTATTTTTCTGAACAGTGTTCGTGAATGGGAAGTTCTGTAAGAATCCAAACTACACAACGGCAGATGATTTCTTCTTTTCCGGCCTTGACAAGTCCGGAAACACGTCCAACCCTGTTGGCTCCAAAGTCACTCCTGTAAATGTGATGCAATTGCCTGGTCTCAATACTCTTGGCATTTCCTTGGTTCGCATAGACTATGCTCCCTACGGTCTCAACCCGCCCCACACCCACCCTCGCGCCACCGAGGTTCTGGTTGTGTTGGAGGGCAGACTCTACGTGGGTTTCATCACCTCCAACCCCGACAATCGCCTCTTCACCAAGGTCCTGAACAATGGGAGATGTGTTTGTGTTCCCTCAAGGTCTCATTCACTTCCAGTTCAATGTGGGGCACACCGATGCCGTTGCCTTTGCCGGTTTGAGCAGTCAGAACCCTGGTACAATCACCATTGCTAATGCTGTGTTTGGATCCAATCCACCCATCAAAAATGATGTTCTTGCAAAGGCATTCCAAGTTGACAAGAAAGTGATTGATTACCTTCAAGCTCAGTTCTGGATGGACAATAACTAAAATAAAACATTAGGCTACTACTGCTTTTAATTACTTACTATATATGTAAGCGCAATTCCTTATGTAACCATTCTTAAATATTATAATAATACGATTGTTTTTCTTTTTGTCTCTGATTCCGTCGCCTTAAAGTTAATTATAATAATGCATAATTATGGCTTTCTGTTTGATTCCTACGTGAAAACAAGAAATTAAAAGATGGTCTGCTACATTTTGGAAAACTGAGAAGTGAGAATGGTTAAATCAGAAGTTCAGCACTGTCGGCAGGGTAATTGGAGTATGTGGTCAATATTTATCTGGATTTAGTGAACAACCAGGATTGGTTGCAAAGAAAATCCATGATATAAGTGACCCACCTAGACACAAAGTATTCAAATTAAGCTGGTCTGATCAGCCAACTTTTCTTATATATACATTTTTTTCTGAAATTGATTGAAACTTCTGTATTTTAAAAGGATTCACGAAACACAAAAGTGTAACCAATCAGGTGGGTTTTCATCAAAATTCGGGGGTTGTTTGATTGGTTAAAACCTTTTTGGTATCATGCTTAATTATCTAGCATCATAGATTTTTCCAATTTTGAAGTTAGGACCAGACATACCAATCAAATGGTCTTTGGTACTCTCTGCCAGAAATCAATACAAGTAATGGTGCTGAGATAAATGCTTTAAAGTATCGTCATTTGCATTTAAATGCATTTGGAGTTAAGGTTGAGTTTGTAAATGATGCAAATAAGTGTGAATGCAAATATGTAAAGTGTAAAACGGTCTCTATGAATTGTAAAGTTGGGTTAGTTTTGTATTGATGACAAATTTATCTTTTACCAAACAGACTTTTAGCTGTAATGGATCGATGCAAACACAAATTCAAATAAAGCATATGCCTTTTTTTATGAAAAACCCACTTGAATGCAAATTTACTTCATTTTTATCAATATACTTTTACATCTTATTATCAATGTAAATATGCATTGGAAAATGTATTTTTTATCATTTGCCAATGCATAAATGTAATATTGCTAAACACAAGCAAAAGTAAACTAAAATACAAATTTACCCTCAACCGGGATTTACACTCTATTTATTGCATCGTTTCCAAACACAGCCTAAATAGTTAGGTTGCGTTTGGTAAGTGCAAAAATCATATATATCAAGGCAAAAACAAGTTTCTTCAAAATATACGAATGCAAATTTGGTTCGGATTTACATATTGATAAATTTTGTATTACCTTTGATTGTGATGGGTACAACAAGAATTTCAAGATCAGAACCTACCTATTTATCATATTGACTAACTTTGATTTCAAGTATGCTTCCATTATCATAAGCTAACTTTGTTCCCATTTTGAAAGTAAAAATATCAGAAAAACGAATTTTCGTCTTCAATATAAGGACTATATATTGCAATATACGACTATATATTGCAAAACCGAACTGGAGTACAAATGCACCTTGGCTTTATAAAACCGAACTGATGAATCAGATAATATCATATCAGATTTGGTGGATCTATACTTGCTCCAGTTATAAACAAATTGAGTTCAATCATCATTAATATGATCAAAATCAAATTTGGACAATCAGTTTGCACCCATATAATTGAATATCCAACTGATTGACTAGGCATGGTTATGTGAAAGTGGGATTTGAACCAATGTTCAGAGAATTGGACCAAACATAAAACCAGAAAAGGGAGAAGTTTACGGGTCATAGGTTCAATCAGAGTCAAATCAACGGTCAAACTATGATGACATGGCATATATGTATATATACTACAAGATATGTAACTATTGTATATAATATGTAATATATACAACAAAGAGCCATTAAATAAAGTAAATAAAGAGATGAATTAGTAGTAATTAAGTCATATATGAAAATAAAAAGTCACGACACTTTTAAAATTTCAATTATTCAAAGGCCCAACTGCCCAAGCAGTTTCATGAAACCAAGACTAGTTCACCGGTTTTCCAATTAAATTGGCCAGTCAATCGGTTTTCATTTAGTTTTTAGCAACTTTTAGCAACTACAGTTATTGGGTGTAACCAAACCGGCAAAGGGCCCGAGTCATAATTCAACTGGTCCAACACTTCTAAAATTTCAAATTTTCAAAGGTGTACATGGCATATATGTACACTCAAAAGTGCTGGTGACGTCTCTCAAATTTCCAATACTGTCGATGTTGAATTCATTCAAAAGTGGGCCATGAGCCCATGACATCAGTGTCCAGTTGTCTGGCTGAAGTGCTGGTGAACAGACGTCACCAGCACTTTTGAAGCTGAAACTGAAGTCATTGGCTGGCAAATGACTTCACCTAAACCATTCAACTAGTGGGGTTCCGTCCACGTGTACTGACACTGAGCCTCCAAAGCTGCCACAGTAACAAAAAAAATGTGGATTAAATAATGCAATGACAAGGAAACCATTAGGCAAGGTGTCAGATATGGATTTACACAAGAACATTGAAATATCTGGCATAAAGGCACTCTTGTATAGGAATCTGGGTATCATGAATGAACAGCCTTTCTCTTACCTAATTGATATTTATTCATATGTGAATGCTTTCGTCGTCACAGAAATGATAAAACGATATGATTTCAAAATGCTGATAAAATGTATTTTTTTTTTGTGTTTTGAAGGGTTAAGTTATCAAAAAACTTGTTCTTAAGAAAACCAGATAGAATATGAATCATATGATGCTGATATGCTTTTAATACCTTTTTTTTAGAAAAAGTAAAGTATTATTAAAGCAAAACAGGTCGTTTGGACAATGAGAAGCTGTTAAAGAAGGACCTCAAAGAAAAGACCATCCTCAAAAAAGTACTATTAAAAGTATCATCTTTAAACATGGTATGTATACACAACCAACTTCAAATAACCCCTATAGCCAAATTGATGACCTCGACTTCAGAGAAGCTTTGTGCTCAAAAATCCTATTGTTCCTTTGCTTGTACCTGTGCTTGTATATTTAAATGCCGGTTTTGTAGCAGAACAAGGAGGTCTGCTACTATCTGAAGGTCCCAATCATTAAAGCCCCTTCTAAAAGGAGTCCAGCAAATGCTATTGTTAGTCAGCAAAAAAGAATCAGCTACCAAGATTTCATTGTCTGTTGCTACATTATACAAGGCTGGAAACAACTCTTTAAGAGTGTAATCCCCAATCCAAGGGTCTAACCAGAATCTGAGTCTTATACATCTCCAATTTTGTAGCTGATGCACCTTCTGAAATGTGTGGAAACTAAACAGATTCCTTTCCATACACCACAGCCATAAGTCAATGGAAATAATCCAGCCTCTCAACCGTTGCTTCCTAGCCCATATTTCTCGGCTATGATCTCCCTCCAAAGGTTATTTGGTTCAACAGAGAACCTCCAAAGCCAACTTCCCAGTAAAGCAAAGTTGAAAGACTTTATATGTCTTATTCCCAAACTACCTTTGGACTGAGACTTACAAATATGATCCCAATTCACAAGATGGTATTTGGGAGAGTCTTTCTAACATGTTTGAATTATGAAACTTAATCCTTTGCTAATCGTACAAACTGATGGCTATTAGTTTCCTACTTATAATCTATATTTGATGTTTAGCTGCATATTTTTGAATTGAAACCCCTTTTTCTTTCAACTTTTTACTCCTTTTGTTAGTTTAATGTGGGGAATACATTGATGTGGTACTCCATGATGCAATTGGTACTTGCTTTTGTTACCCTACCTTAAACCTATTAACTTGGTACTTAAAAACTATGATGTTTGGTTGCATTTTTTTCACTTAGAATCTCTCTTTTCTTTTAGCCCTTTAGTTGGTTAATCTAGAGATCTTTTCTAGGATGGTGTGGTACTCTTAATGATGCAGTTGGTACTTACTGCAGTTATCCTAACTCAAACCTATGATCTTTTCATTTAGAAGCAATGTATGGTGTTGAAATGCATATTTTTGAATTGGAAGTTGCCTTTTCTTTTAGCCCTTTAGTTTGATTTTTGTTGATAACTTGGTTTAATTTGGATTTATATTAGCTGATATAAAAAGGAATTTTTCTATATTAATGTGGTACTGCAGCAATGTAGTTGGTAACCATTGTGATTATCCTACTTAGATTAATTGACTTTTTTAGATGGTTGTCTAAAAACTGTTTATAGTATCTAAATGTCTTTTTCCCTCCGTGATTTTGGTTCTGTATCATCAGATTTATTTGCAGAATCTTTCCTGTTCTAAACCAGAGTTTAAGCTGCCTAGCACACCATGCTCACCAATCATAGATCCACATCTCTCTCCAGATGGAAATATGCTTGCCTATGTAAGAGACAACGAGCTGCATGCTTTGAATTTGTTATACAGCGAACCCAAACAATTAGCATAAGGTGCCAAGGAAAATTTCCTGGTGAGCTTTATTTTTCTTCTCTATTTCTGCCCAATCTGGGTTAAGGAATTTAGTAACTCTGAGTTCCTTTTCACTTTTGTTTGTTGTTGTTTCAAGTGACAAAATATGAGTCATCCTTTTGTTTTCCTAATATCTTTTTACAATTTGTTTTCAACAATACTTCATTTTACCTGTGGCCACATGGCATCTACTTGAATTGATTCACCTGTTCACCTTGTTAATGTGTTATCTGACTCAGAAAATCATGTTAAAGGTCAATTTTATCTATTCAGTAAAAGGTAACAGATCAAAATATTTGGAAGTTTTTTGGATAGGTAAATGCTGGTTTCATTAAAAGAAAAGAGGTATTATAGAATCTGATATTCAGTTTTTGCTACATCACTACATATTCGAGCGAAATTGAGAAGGACCTTTGCTTACCATCTCTACTATAAGAAGCAAAGTAATAAGCAACCTAGTTATTAGTCTCCTATAAAATGATGCCACCTCTACATGGACACTGAACCATTCTATTTTTTTTTTAATAGCGAAAATAATCAAGCCTTATATGGTGTGACTGTCCAAACCAAAGCTTCATATGTTGTGACTTCCCTGGTTTTGGGAGGTGTGGACTAGACTGAACCTAACCTTTGAAATCAGATGGGTGGAAACGTTTCAGGTGGAAGTGCCTAAGGTAGATCTAATCCGATTGCATATATTCTGTCCCCTTTAGACTTAAATATCATCAAACAACATTGGGATTCCAAAGGATAGAGATTATATGGATGGGATTCCAAAGAAATGGGTGGGATTCTGTCCCCTTTAATAAAGGGGATTCCACCATCTGATTAAATGGGCGGAAGTGCCTAATGTATAAAGGGGACAGACTCAAGTTGTTTAGATTAATTTTAAATTAGACTTGATATCATCAAACGCCACAAAAAGAAAGGAATCCAATCGGTTTGCACACACAACAATCTATGTTAAAAAAAGATTATTAACTAATCAATGAATATATGCGATGAAAAATTAACTCGTTAACAGATCTATCTGTAAGAAAACAATAAGTTGTATATTACCTATTACAATGATTTTGTGTCTTTGGATTATTGATCACAGTTCGCAGAAGAGAGATAGCCATTGGAAAGAGAAAGCCACTGGAGAGAGAAATGTCAGAGAGAAAGCTGTCGCCTGTCGGAGAGAGATAGTTGCAGATCAGCACTAGAATGAGTGGACTGGAGAGGGTAAACTCAGATCGACGCAGACCAGCATCAGCGTCTATTACTTGGCTATTGATGCAGATTTAGATACACAAACTCTCATATCGAATGTAGACGTCGCCAACGACTTGAATGGGAAAATATCTAGAGCCTCGAACACTCAAACAGACACTCAGATGAGGGTAAACTTGAATCGGAAGTCGCCATTACTCGACTGCATCGTGCTGGTGGTGGACGAGGGTAAACTCCTCGCCTTTTTCCCTTGATGAAGGGCGGGAGTAAAGTTTTACTTCGAGAAAACCGAAGTTGCTTTTCACCTCGGGATCGATGTAAATCCTGACATATTTGCAATTTTACATCGATCTTAAGGGTGTTTTTACGACGTCTCCAAAGGCATGCAATTGTAAACCGGGATGCAATAATGCATTGAATAGGTATTTGCACTCCTTCCAAATGCAGCTTAAAGTGAAATTTCAAGAGTGGTTTTTGTGGTTGATAAAAAACTTAGGGGAGGTTTTTATATTTTACCCTAAGGCCAGGTTTGCTTTTCGGTAAGGTACTTATCCACGTAAATGCAATTACCTATTCAGGTAAGTGTATTTATTCATGTTCTTTTATTTTTCAAGTAAAAAAGAAAATGACCGTTTTAACTATAAAAAATCATTATGACAGTTTTGTCTCATTCAAGTGTTGGAAACTTTCCCCTCAAGTGGAAACTTTATTTATCCACCTAGAAAATGGATATCACTTACCCAGATAAGTGATACTTAGGAAAATAAACTTTCCTTAATCTCTACATTAATTAAAAAAAAAAACAACGGTTTCTTGGTCAATGGGAACCAAAATCCCATTGACCAACTTTCTCCCCTTTCAAAATCCAAAAAAAGAACGCCCCCTAAAAGCATCTATACTCTCACCTTAGATTCGGGCAATGCCCATCTTTCCATATCTATTGTTTACCTAGTACTTATAATTAATACAATTAAAAGGACAAATTTCTAAAAACCTCCCCTGAAGTTTGATATTTGCAATCACTTCCTTGTGCTTTATGAGACATAGTTGCATAGACCCTCTTTCTTACAATCCTCTAAAAAGAGGCATGAAAATATTTAAAATACCTATGCAATTACTTTTGACCAAAATGTTTATTTTTGAATTTTTCTCTTCATATAAATTGCTATTCCAAACCCTTCCAATCTCTTTTCTAGAATTAATTTATTTTCTAAAATTTTCCTTCATATCAATTGCTCAAAGGTAAAGCTACAACTTTAAATTCTCCTTTTTTTTCTGTCATTCATAAAGTTTGTATTGTTTTTTATAGAAACCAACTTCAATAGTAATTGTATGAGTATTTTAGATATTTTTGTGCTTCTTGTTAGAGGATTCTAACATAAGGGGTGCTATGTGGGATTGGGTCAAGGCCTTTTTTAGAGGTTCTTGTTTTGGGAAAATTCTAGATCAGAACCCTGTACTTTGGCTCAAATAACAATTTGGTCCCCAAACTTTAAAATGCGACAATTTGACTCAGGTAACAATTGAATTGGAATGCAAGTGAATCCGATTCGATTATAAATAATTACATGAATTTTCAGTAATCATACACATTCAACGCAGATCATGTAAAGATACAATGTGGTTTTCTTTCTTTTAACATGAAAGCTCATCAAAAGCCATACAACAGATGCTTGTACATTTTCTTTTCCACTTAATTTTGAATACAAAGAACATTGGGTATGAGCAGCCCAGTTACATTTCCATGGACATGATTGCAAGCGGAACTAACTTTTTGTCCAGGAGTCGCCGATGATAACTTTATAGACTTCAATGATATTCCGGTGCAAGGGAATGAGGAACTGCAATTGAAATTGATAGCCACTTCTGTGCTTGAGGTTCCAACCATATCGGCATATTGAACATCGCTTATTTGGATACCAGTAGGCTTCAACAAAGAACAAGTATAAGAGAAATTATTAAACTTTGAATTCATCCAGATATACATGATACAACAGAGAAATTATTTCATATAATATAGGGAGGAGAGAGAGAGAGTCTCACCAATTCTTTGCATGCACCACGTACACTGCAATAATTCTGATCAATAATTATAGGGTTTTCTACATTGCTGAAGTTTATTCCCTTGAATGAAATCTTTTTACAGTAACCTTTTCCCGTCTGTAAAAGAAAATGAATAAAATAAAAAAGAGGACTATTGAAGACACAGTTTAATATATATATATATATATATATATAGTATCGATCTAGGTTTTAAAAATCGGATTAGACATAGAACCATTTTAGCTATTGGTTTTTAGGTCGAACGGTCCAATTATCTGGTTCGAACAAATGACCCATTCTGATTTAAAAAATAAAAAAACAAGCAAAACCATTGTTTGTATCATTATGATACGCCCCATATTGTATCAGAAATGGAGATGAATTGGTGGGTTTTTCGATTCCATACCTGCCATGTCTTGATCCTCACTCCATTGGTCGTGTTGGTAAAAGAGGCATTTCTAACATGAATATTCTCTACTTTGGAGAATGAACCATCCTTACCTAAGCTTCCAATGCTGTCATACACAAAAAAAAAAAAAAAAAAAAGTGCAGCATTTTATCAAATTACTATTTCTTCTTCACCTATTTAGAAACTTATATAAAATAAAAATTTTGAATATGCATCTTATAGAACTTTTAAGGGGTGTTCCACAATATGGTTGATTTTGTTTTTGGAAACTATTAAAGAACCAGTCAACTTAAAAGCTTAAGCTGTTAAGTGAGGTCATTGAATAGTTTTATTCTCTAACATGCCCCTCACATGAAAGTCCATTGGACTTGAAGTGTGGACAGCACAGGCCCATCCATACCTTATGCTGAAACTTAATTAATTATAATGGAGTGACAAGAACCAGTCAAAGCGACTCTGATACCATCTCAAAGAACCAATCAAAGTGGCTCTGATACCAACTGCCATGTTTGTTTTAAAAACAAAACCAACCATCTTGTCAAACCAAACCAAATTTCCTACCTGCCATGAATTGCAGCCACACATCACCGTCTTAAATTGTGAGATGTGTGGCTGCAATTCACAACGGATAGAGTGTAGGTAGAAAAAGTGAGTAGGAAATCTAGGTTCTTGTTGAACCTCCCCTAGTGTAGCATGAGTTAACTTACCTTATGCCATGACCTGGACCGCAAATAACATCATTGATCACAATATTTGAAGTGTAATCCCCTATAGAGATACAATCATCACCTGTTTGGCATAGATTTAGTTAAAATGGGAAAGATGGAGAATGAGAAATGATGAAAAAGAATGAGAAAGCTAAAATGGCATAAGAGGGAATAGAAGTTACCAGAGCTTATTTTTGTGTGTTGGATTAACATGTCTTGGGCTGATTGGATGTGGATACCATCAGTGTTTGGGCTATGTCCAGGTGAATTTATGGCAATTCCATTGATATAAAACCCAGTACATCCCATGACGAGGACATGAGTTTGTGGGCTATTGATGAACTGAACATTGCTGAGATGGATTTGGTTGCACTTGAGGAATTTCATCGTCTATATTTACATTTATTTAAAAATTCATTAATACTTGTACTAAAATGAAAAATAAGAAGTCATATATCCTTCACTAGAATTTGAATTTCATTTTCACAGAACCGTTCTCACAGCCTTTTGTAACCATGCATTGAAAATATTTCCGTATTTATATRTTTTTTATTCACAAATGCACAATTGCAATTGCAAGGGGCTGTGAGGATTGAGAGTCTAGATSTCTAATTTGTAATAAAAATACATTACTAGAGGGGAAATACTTACAGTTGGTGCCAATTTAGTGCATCCCTGAAATTTTATTCCACCAAAAATAGTTAACATTCCATTAATTTTTAGTAATTAAAAATATCTTTAAAAATTATTGACAAAAAAATATAATTAAGATTCTACTCACATTCCCAGGATGATATCTGCATGACTGATCCCACCAACCAGAACCCCGTCCATCAATGACTCCAGATCCACTGACTCTGAGTCCACTTACAGAAGTGAAAGCCATCCATAGGCTTTGGTCAATCCCCTTCCATGTATCAGTTGTGTTGGGGGCAATTATGGTTCCCATTATCTATACAAATTCAAATTTTGAAATGGGAAATGGACCCATTATACTTAATAGTTAATACCAAAATGTTCAAAAAATAAAAAAG